CATTATATGCTCGTCGCTGACGTAGGGTCAGAAATCCGAACATCACACAGCTTGAGGGATAATCCACATATTCACGTCTGGTTTTGTAGCAAAGATATTTAATTAAACATTTTTGAACTTTTTCTAACCGTTCAATGTAAACCGCATATTGTGGATTCCAGACAATGCTTCCAAAGTTTAAGACACTGCCAATATAAGCAGTATACATGCTTATAATTGCACTTGAGTTGTGAAATGCTCGGTAGATCGTTTTATAAAGCCTAACATTCTGTAACATTTTATTACCACTCCGTCAACATGTCTGTCAAATATCAGCTTCTGGTCGAGTGTTACACCAAGATCGACGGTGTGCGTCACTCGACGCAGGCCTTCCGTACCAATACAATAGTTATATTTGATCTAAAAGCATTTTATTGTTTTTAATATTTACAATTTTTATCCCCTTAATACATTCTAATATATATATTATTATTAGTTATATTTGATGTAATCGCGTTTTTTAGTAAATGAAATAGTATGGCATTTGGCAATATTTAGAATAAGGTGATTTCTAACACAGAACTGGTCAAGCCTGTCAAGGTCAGCCTGCAACTTCACACAATCATCTGTGGTCCGAACCGGCAAGAAAATTTTTAAATCATCAGCATACATTAAACAGCGTGAATTGGTTATACAAGAGAATATATCATTAACATATATTAAAAATAATAGTGGTCCCAGGTGACTGCCCTGAGGCACGCCAGAAGTCAATATAGATGGATGCGAAGAGTAGCCGCCCGCGCGTACTACTTGGGTGCGTTCAGACACGTAGGAACCAAACCAACGCAGCAAGCCACCCGTCACACCAAAACATCGTAGCTTATTTAACAGTATAGTGTGGTCCACCTTATCAAATGCCTTGCTAAAATCAGTGCATACCGCATCCACCTGTACGTTGTTATCAAGTGCTGTGAACAGAAAATCTGCGTATTCCAATAAATTGGTTTCAACTGATCGTCCGGGATAAAACCCATGTTGACTCATATGTGTATTCTGTTTGACTTGAAAAAATACGCTGGTGTACACTAATTTCTCAAAAACCTTGCAAATACTAGGCAATAATGATATCGGTCGGTAATTAGTAACTAAATTCCTAGCACCATTTTTGAAAATAGGGACTACGTTGGCCTGCTTCCATGCGTTTGGAAAAATCCCCTGTTGCAAAGATTTATTATAAATTAACGCCCCCTTCCCGGCCCTTTATTCAACGCTATCCCATGTAATGCTTTATGTACTTCAGCAATAGTAAAGGACCCAACAGACACATTAGACAAACCTATCACGCCCCCCTCGTTAAGCACGATGGCAGATAGTGGTGTGAAAACTGTTGAAAAATACTTAGCAAATAGCGAACAAATGCTTTCCCCATCAGAAGCTACAGTACCATCATACTCGACGCTAGCAGGGATACTCGTGCCGCCTCTCCTGCGTCTCAGATAAGACCAAAATTGTTTCGGCTCTGTGACAATATTATCCTGAACGCGTTCCATGTATGTTATGTGATCGCGATCGATCAGAAACTTTGAGCGACCACGCAAAAGCGAAAAAGTAATGTAATCCAACTGATTCCCATAGAGCTTCCATCGTTTATGCATCCTACGTTTCTCATTTAACACCCGAATCGTATCCCTTGTAAACCAGGGCGGGTAACCTTTCACATACCGGGACTTTTGTGGAACATGTTTTTTTATTGCCAGAAAAACATTCATAAAAACATTGTTGATAGTTTTCGTGAAACTATCATCAGGTTTATTTTTTGTTATGAACGCCATATTTGATTTTCACACCAAAAAATAGGAGAATTAATTCTGATTTCAATGATATGTCATACAATATATTTCATTTAAAAAAAACATTGAATTATTAAAAAAAAAAAGAATAAACCTGATGATAGTTTCACGAAAACCAAACGTTGGAGAACATTTCTAGTTGTGTCATGACATTTTTCATAAAAAGTTGTTAGAATGTTATTTCAGATTCATGAAAAAACGAAAAATAAAAAAGTGTCCATATAATGTCTAAAGGGTGCGTTTACGTTGGAGCTGCGATAAACGATACTAGCAAAATAACGAAATTGTTGTCATAGTTTTATATGCAAGTGTTTATATTGGAGCGACGAATTGTCACAAGCTTGACAGCCGACTAACGATAAGAGCGACGCTAATTGTATTCCCTATTTTCTTTGCTATTATCAGGTGTGGTCGGCTGTATCGACTGTTTAATTAGTGAAATTTTTGTTAGATCCCCCTTGTGGGACCAAAAAGATAAAAATTACCACAACAGATTTGTTTTGACAAATCGTTTTCAATTCATTTTGCGCAGCTCTCATTGTTGTTCTTATCGTTTATCGCAGCTCTCGTTCCAATATAAACACCTGCATATAAAACTATGACAACAATTTCGTTGTTTTGGTAGTATCGTCGCTATTATCGTTTATCGCAGCTCCAACGTAAACACACCCTTAGTTATAATACTCCACCTATAATAATAACCAAGATAGTTGCACTTGCTGGTTTTACGATATTTTCAATTTTGGCCTCTAGGGAAAAAACATAAGATGATAGCTCTTTGAGGTTCTCGACATTGGAATTTATTTAAAAAAAGAGATCGAGCATGTAAGCTACTTTTTTTCTAACTCTTATAGTTTCTGAGATAGGCTATTCGGACATCGAATTTGAACCAACCTGTACATCTCCAATAATTCGAGGTACTTCGAGGTGCTTGACGATCTCGGATATCTAGATTAATGTTATTAGTAAAATTTTGTTAATAAACAATTTTTAAATTTTTTTCAAAAATGTTCTTATACAGGATGTTTCGGTGACTCGGGGAACAAATGAAACCACATATACTAGAGTGAAAATGATAACGATTCATGTAAAAAAAAATTAGTAAAAGTCCTCAAATTGTAAAGATACAGGCCATCAAAGTAAGGAAATTTTAACACATTTTTCTAAATATCTTAAACACTATTTATGGTAAAGTGTTGAAATTTGGTATAGTGTAAACTAATATCACGTAGAATCACTAGGCAATTTTTGAGTTGGAGCGGTACGCGGGAACAATGCTATACAGGCTGTTCCTAAAGTTTGTTTGATCAGAACTTTTTTATTCTATCAAAACCCTACATTTATTTTTGCAGTTTCTAATAGTAAATTTAGTTTAAAAACTTTTATCACTCTTAGAGAATATTGATAAAAACCACCGTTTTCGTATTAAATGTAAAAATGTTAGGTTCCGAATTCAATAACACTAAAAAAAAAAAAAATAAATAATCTGAATTTGCAATGACAAGTGAAAATCGAACTGAGCTGTCATAACTGCAACATCTCCAAGTGTAGATTTAGCTAAATCACATTTTTAATTTGTTTTAGTTGGTTTAATAAAAGAATGCAAAAACAATAAATTAACAATCAACAAAAAATAAACAAAAAAACGACAACACTAACAGAATAATAAAAAAGGTACATAAAATTACAAGACAAGTAATAAAAAATACTAAAGGAAATGTTCAAAAACTTAGAGTTCTTTTTTTTAGTGCTATTATTGAAATCGGAACCCAACATTTTTGCATTTAACACAAAAACTAAACTTTCTTAACTTTGATGGCCTCTATCTTTGAAATTTGAAGACTTTTACTAATTTTTTTTACATGAATCGTTATCATTTTCACTTCCGAGTCACCGAAACATCCTGTATACAGGTACTCTTTTACGTCATCGTAAAGAGAGAAAAAATCTCTATCAAATGAGCCTAACGATAGGGTACATTGCCATTTAAAAAACATTTAGTATTATTAGTTGCTCATTTGTTTTCTGAAATAAAAACAATTGAATGCTGTCTTATTATGGCAAATAAAATATTAAACAACTTTTGTATAAAACGTTTTTTTATAAAGTCAACATTTACTGAGATACATACAGCGTGTTAATTAATTATCGTACCCGACGTCATCATTGCAAGTATGCAACCAAGTATCACAGTACTGATATTGCAAATGACGTCGGGTACGATAATTAATTAACACGCTGTACTATATTCCTTTCATCGTGAACGCACTGTATACGTAGGTTATACCGGAAGTTGCCACCTACTTTATTTTTTTAAATGGAATACCCTATATATTTTTATATATTTGGATTTGTCTATTTTCAAGGTTTATGAATCGTTTTCAATCGATTCGCTCATGATAGTTCAGAAACCAAAAGGAAATTGAAAATTTCCGAAAACAGGTCCACTTCAATCATTCACACTTTTAATGTTTACCCCTGCGCCCCCACGAATACCACCTCAAAAATTTTAAATGGTATGACACATCGCGTGGTATCTCAAATGAAAAATCACCTGTATAGACTCAGCTCGTCGTGACAGACCCTGTACAGTTATATGTTTATTGAAGGCTTTTAAAAGAAATTGTACAAAGAGTTTTGCGATGCTGTATAAAAACGTGACTAAATTTTATTTTGACTAAATTTACCGGTGAAATAACTATTCATTGAAACTAAGAATGATGCAATTTTATACGCAGAAAATAACAACCAACTTCCGCCAGTTTCAATTCACCTTGATTGACTTTTCACGGTTTTAAACAGGTTTTCACCGCCTTTCACGCTTCGCGCAAATTTTACGGTTTTTGTTTCTATTAATAACGAAACTTTATTACTTTATTCGCCTTATCTTTTATTGTGATTAAAGGGAAATTTTTATAAATGATTAATTCAAACAATGTTGGTAGATAAAACTGACCTGATTTATTGCTATATGTTATCCTCAAAAAAAAATAATAATAAATTACAATACGGCACAATACATTAATATACATGTTTGGACGGTTTCAATCGCCCTTATCATAATTTATCACCTTTTTGTACAAAGTAGTAATCGGACGAAATTTATTACAATTTGTTTTCGTTTTTAAGATTTTTAAAATTAGTCTAGTCAGTCTGAATAAGAAAAAAAATTACAAAAGCCGTTAAAATAAAATTAAAAACTTAGTTCTTTTTAAAAATACCAAATGATACTGATTTTTTTCTATTAGGTATGGTAACAAAGTACATGGAGAACTTATAAATTATAAAACTAAAACGATCACATATGAATTGAAGCTAAATTATGCGGGTTTATACTTTGACTTGAAGATTGTCTTTTAAGTAACTTTTCTTTAACCGATTGAGTACGTTTTGGTTTATTAGCGTTTTCGGAAGGCGGAGGAACATCTTTTTGTATTTGCACAACTGATTTCAAATCAAATTCGAACGATATCGGTTTAACGGGAGCCGTCAAAGTTAAACTAGGAGTTCTGCTTACACCCGTATAATAAATTTGATTCTCTTCCGGTGTGTCCAAATAAAATTTGGGCATTAAATTTTGTCTAATAACAGGTAATTCCGGACGATTTATCATTAAAGTTAACCCTTTAGGCGTTCTTCTTTCTTGCAACGTTTTTTTTCTTAATTCTACGCTATTTTCAATGGGTTTAACAAGTTCCGTTTTATTTTTATCACTTTCATTCAAAATCTCTTTATTATCTTTTTTCACCTCTCCATTCGTTTTTACTTCTTCGGGTTTAACTCTTTCATTTTCATTTTTATTTTCTTGGTGTCCTCCATCAACTGTATCTATTGTTGTTTGACTAATAGTATCGTTATCTTCTTCTGGTACAACAGACATTTTTCTTCGAATTAACGTGGATCTTCTTTCCCTAACTACATTTTGATTGTCGTTGATAAAGTCATCTTCATTTTCAAACCATCGAATTTTTCGCTTCGGTTGAGTCACCACAGGAACCGCAGGTTCTTTTGGGGGTAATGGATCGATTGTAAAGATTGCTCTGTTTGCTATGAGGGCAACGTTGTCGTAGAAAGCCATGTTGTCCAATCCATTATTGTTTTGCTCGTTCTTTTTCTCATCAGGATCCTCGTAAAGGGCAATCGAATCATCCCAACAGAAGTGCTTTTCGCAACAGTGCCAATAACAACTTTCCCACAAACTGAAACAAACGTATTGAAGTATAAGGTATTATCATTTTTATAAAGTATAAAGATGGTATTGGTTAATTGAGAAATTCAAGTAGTATTATTTATGTTGATTAATTTTTTTATGGGTAATCATTTATTGTCTATAAGATAAGATAACAAATGTAGTCTTTTACTTCCAGGAATAGGATCGATTAATTAAAACAAAATTAAATTATAAAGAGATTATTATATTAGTTTTTTAAGTTAATAGAAATGTTACGGGGTTGTTCTTTTGTATTATGCTGGATTTTTGAAGAATAGCCTTCAGGCCCTGATGAAGCATTAAATATATGCGAAATATTGGCTGATAATTTAATTTTGTTTTAATTAATCGATCCTATTCCTGGAAGAAAAAGACTACATTGGTATTCCTTACGGGATCAACTACAATTATTCTCCTATAAGATAAGGTGTGGTGTTTCAAATAAAGGGATTTTAAGTTATAAGGAAATTTATATGAAGCTAATAAAAAAATTGTTTTATTTTTAGAACTTTAAAAACCTTTATTTATAAAAATTTAATTTTTTTTAGGTTTCTATTAAATTTTTTGTCCCAATTATATTAAGATTATCTAACAATAAGTAGATAGAGAAAATTAAGTTTTGTCTACAATAATTGGTATTTAGATAATACAATAAAATGTTTGTAATCCTTAACGCTAAATTGTTTCAAAATAAAATTAATAACAATGTGCGATTGTTGATGAATTAGTCGATCAAAACAGAATGACATATAACAAACAACATATAACGTGTCTGCTAAAAAGTCAGCAAAACCTTGTTTTTTTTAGTTTCATTACACCTATGCTTTTGAAATTTTGTTTATACAGGATGTTCATCTCGATCTTCAGATTTAAAATATGTTCTAGATAGTCGCCGTTTCAGGTCCACCGAAAGTAGACAACAAAATCGTTATTTTAAAACGTATGTTAAAGTTTTTATTACATATTCAATTCTTTATACAAAAATAGGTTGACTTTGATAAGAATTGTTGTTACCTACAGCTTTTCGTTTTTCAGTTATTTTAATTTTGTTTTTATTTTTGTCTTATTGAAAATAATTTTGCAAAAAACAAAATTTTTAATCTGACATTTCAGAAAATTTTTGAATACAAACAAATGTTGCTGTTTATTTGAATTAAAAAAATAAAGTCCCTAGATTTCCAATGTACCGCGGTTCATGAAGCCTGTTTTCGAGCCAAAATGGCGGTTTGACAACTTGTCACTGCATCTCACCACTTATTTACAAAAATATTGCCGTCTTGTTGCCTTTGAAGTTGCAAAAATGGCAGTAAGAAGGACTTTCGACTCTTCAGGGACTTTATTTTTTTTAAAAAGTCCCTAGATTTACAAAGTACCGCGGTTTGCCGCCATTTTGGCTCGAAAGTCAAGCGGGAAATTTAAAACTATGTCGTTCTATTGATAACATTACGCCAAAACTCTATTCTTTTTTATCGTGGTACTCTTAAGAGTCGAAAGCCCTTCTTACTGCTATTTTTGCAACTCCAAAGGCAACAAGACGGCAATATTTTTGTAAATGAGTGGTGAGATGCAGTGACAAATTGTCAAACCGCCATTTTGGCTCGAAAACAGGCGTCATGAACCGCGGTACTTTGTAAATCTAGGGACTTTAAAAAAAATAAAGTCCCTAGATTTACAAAGTACCGCGGTTTGCCGCCATTTTGGCTCGAAAGTCAAGCGGGAAATTTAAAACTATGTCGTTCTATTGATAACATTACGCCAAAACTCTATTCTTTTTTATCGTGGTACTCTTAAGAGTCGAAAGCCCTTCTTACTGCTATTTTTGCAACTCCAAAGGCAACAAGACGGCAATATTTTTGTAAATAAGTGATGAGATGCAGTGACAAATTGTCAAACCGCCATTTTGGCTCGAAAACAGGCGTCATGAGTCATCACCAGAGCCCGGACAGTTTAGGAAAAGTGCGCCCCTCTACACGAAACGAATTCCATGACAACGACGTAAGTACGTTGTTGTCACTTTTGACACCTTTTAAGTTACTCTCATAGAAAAATAAATATTAATATATATATATATATATATAGAAGCATTACTCCCCACTATTTTTTCGGTCAAATTGATTTCAACGCGTCTAGTGGTCTGTGGTACCTACTACTTTTAATAAAGCGCGAAATTTAAAAGTATTTTTATTCAGTTAATGGTTATTAATTATTGATTTCAAACTTCCACCAGTCAACATGAAAATGATAACAGTAAAGGTATCATTTTCATGTTGACTGGTGAAAATTTGAATTTTGTTTTCACTTCGTTTTGTCTGCAACAAAACACCTGCACTTTCGACTCTTCAGAGTACCACGAGAAAAAATGAAAGGAATTTTGGCGTAATGTCATCAATAGAACGACATAGTTTTAAAGTTCCCGCTTGACTTTCAAAATGGCCAAAATGGCGGCAAACCGCGGTACTTTGTAAATCTAGGGACTTTAAGCAATTTGTGCTTACAGTGCCATCTAGCCGTTCGTGGTACCCATTAAATATCTGTCTTTTTTTATACGTATTGAGTTAACACACCGTGGTTACTCTTCAAAATTGAATTTCGAAGAGCGATGAGCGTACCAGGAGCGTACCTTAGCGAAGAACTTACAGTGCAACATTAATTAATGAATTAATAAAAATAATATAAAAATACGCACTGAATTATTCATTTTTGGTTTTATTAAATTTATAATTAATAAATTATTATAAGTTATAATTTATTTTGTGACATAAGGTATGACGTATCCGACAGCTTCGCACGCTTCGATTGAATATTGAGACTGAAGTGGGAGGCGTTTTAGGATAATTTTCCTAAACTGTCCGGGCTCTGGTCATCACAGACTAGTCATGAACCGCGGTACTTTGTAAATCTAGAGACTATAAAAAATATATATATATATGAGTGCCATCTATGAATAATTTTTTAAGTCATTTAATAATAATATTAAATATTAATAAAAAATGTGAAATAATGCAATCTGTAATATTCCAACTTTTGTGTAAAACAAATATAAATTAAATAGTTCAACAAATGTATTTGTTTCAAATATCAGAAATAGCTTTTTTAATTTTTAGTTATAATTTATAGGAAACTGTAAATTTAATTTCTTTGACGACACTAAAAAAAAGTTTTCGGCATTAGCAGTTTTTCGAAAAACGAGATCATGACATGTAAGCTACTTTTTTCTAACCTTATAGTTTCCGAGTTAGCCTATTCGAACATCGAATTTGAACCACCCTGTACATATCATACATATTATGATCCCTAAAAACACAGTCTATATGAGTTTTTCAAAATTTCGTATTATTTTCGATTTCTAAATTTGACAATTTCTTCTTTATTACTATTTTCCTGAAAATTTCAATAATATCGTATAATTTTTATATCATACCATAAACTAGAATCTTTAAGCTTCAATTTAACACGCATATCATGTGAAGACTTTTAAAAGTACAGTCGATATGATTTTTTCAAAATTTCGCATTATTTTTGATTTTTAAATTTGACAATTTCTTCGTATATATTTTTTCCTGGAAATTTCAATAATATCTTATAATTTTTATATCATTTCATAAACTGGAATCTTTAAGCTTCTATTTAACATATATATCATGATTGCGACCATCTTGAAAATAGCTTAGATCCAATGATCGGGATAAACATTATATAAACGGGATTGGGTTGGGTTGGATTGACTTTTTGGCGCACACTGTTTATTGTCATTATTGATTTAATGCTTATTTTGTACAAAAATAGGAAAAAGGCTAATTCTCAGATTTCTAATTATTAATTTGTTGTTCAACCATTGAACCTTTGTGAATTGTTAGTTGTTGCTTAAATAATTTTAATTATTTTAGCAGCGAAAACGTCACGACTTTTATTCCATATATAATCCGTGGGATATTAATCAATTTCGAATATTTACTACGTTAATGTTTCCCAAACTGTGTTTTTTGACGCAATAAAAGCGAGCGCCATTGACTTCCTGGCAGCCTTCACTTCTGCATTACTTTCTATAACGCGCTATAGCGTTGTTGTTTTATACTCAGAAAGGAATAAGGAAGTATTTGTATACAGACGAGACGAACATATATCACACAATTGCAGGAATTCAATTCTTACGAGCAAAAATTGTAAAACAATTGTAGATATTAAGAATCGAGGAATGATTACAGTTATTTCATTTCACTTCAATTTTAATTTGTAACATCTTAAACATACTCAATTAAATCCAATTAATATATAGAAATAACAGAAGCTTCGCCATGTCGGTGAGACCCTGGAAAAGGTAAGCTTAGTTGAGATATCTTTAGGTGTATAGTGTATTCATTAGCAAGCAATTCAACGAAGGCTGGATATAATGCTGAATTTTGGATTAGATACTTTAAAATAAGTCAATTTAAAATAAGATATTGAGGAATATCTCTGAGAGATTTGAACAAGACCAGGCATGATATTAGATAAGTTAGTTAAGAAATATCAGGATCGATGTATTGTGATATCAATGGGGATCTTGATAGACGATAGAGAACTGTAGAAGACTGTGAAGGGTATTAGACAACGATACAAATAATGCTATGATGATAGGAGGAATGATAGATGATGGAAAAGATGTTGAGGGATCTTAAGACAGTGTTGAAAAAGAGTAAGGAACATGTTGAAAGATGTCAAAATCGATTTTGAGGGATATCAAAGATGATGTCAAGGACTATAATATTAATGGATTATGTTAAATCTTTATGTTAAATATGTTTTTTAAAATATGTTAGGAACACTTGATGTCGTAGACAATATTCGAATATATCTGTTAGAATAACTGACCGTTAGGACATATACGAGTTTGTTGATAGTGAGGTTAGAAAAAGTAGATCAAACAAAAGACAAAGAAGATGGCGTTATCCAACCTACTACTACAACTAACTAGTATAAATTATTATAATTGGAAATTTAGGGTGAGAA